TACAGAATCTAGTTAGGTTTTTGGGTGTTTTTTTGGCAAATTATTAAACGAGACAAAGCATGAAGAGAATTTTGATCCAATATCACACTTTAATCTTAGCTGCCACATGGATAAGTAATGTAGAAACACTTGGAAAATTGAACATCTATTGATTCTTTCTGTTTGTACTTTCTGGTTTTGATAAATTGTGGGACCTTGATGAGTTTTTTTTTTTTTTTTTTTAAGATAACATAAACACAAGAGTGGGTTTGGGGGTTCAAATGAATGAAGTTACTTCTCAGAAATATGTGAACTAAAGATTAAAGTGCTGCACAAATTCGATGTCCTCGGTGGATTTAATTAAACTTATCGAAATCATTACAATTATTATTTTTTCTTTCCAAAAATAGGATTTACGGAAAATCCTTAAGGTGCCATCTTTTTTGGATGTTTTAGATGTGGTTGGCGTTATTTGTTTCTATTAGAAAATGATGAAATTTGAGAGTTTTAGTTATTTTTTGGGGGAGGAGGGAGTTTGGCATTTGATTGAAGTATGTTGAACGGGCGACCTGACCGAGATTGCACGTTAAAATAACAAAGAAACTAAACTAATAGCAGCAAGATGTGCACTGAAACTGATATAAACTCCAAATAATCATGTAATCAAGAAGACGTAATGAAAAATGAAGTAAAATTAATTCTGTGCTTTAAAAACTGAGTCAATTCAACCCTCAGCATACCACTAGTAGGCCAATAATGGCTCAGTCATTTAAAGCCATCTCTATGTTAACGTGGACTGTGTTTGGTGAACGCTTAGAGCTGGACCACACACACTCCCCCGTTGTGTGTCTTGCTTCTTAACTCACCCCTGCTGTTGTTTAGTGGGGGTCCCTCGCCTTTATCCCTTCGGCTGACCCCGCACAGATTGTGACCTTAAATGCCGTCGCTTCTTCATCACACAGCGACACAGTAGTCCTCATACAGATACTACTCTTCTTATTTGGGCTGGAACTGTGCTTTGGACATCAAAACAACTCTTTTTTTTTTTGGGTTAATTCATAGCTCGTCTTACCCTGAGGGGTTTCAGCGGAGCTTTTATGTTTCTCTGTTATTTTAGGTGAGCCACATATTGATTTGTAGTCTCTCAGAAGTGTGAAGGGCGTCTGTTTGTGAATTAATTCATGTGAATAGACTGATGTTCCTATCGCGGCTGCTTTTAGTGGGATGAAGAAAGGGCTGCAAGTAGGGAATATTTATTTATTCATCTCTGAATGCTATTTGTTGAATTTTAATTTTAGTGTTTTTGGTATAGAATACACCCAAATGTCTGATATCTTTCACATTTGTTTCAAGGAAGAACTTTGTGCCGATAAGGTTCTACTTTACCTCCGTGTTCTTCTCCTGGAAAAATAATCTCTGTCATGAATAGGGTTGTTTTTTTTCTGTTTCAAAGTATTTGTGGAGATAAAAATCAGATGACATGGCTGATGTTGCTGTTATTTGTGTAATCCGCTGTCCGGAGTCGTGCCGAGACGAGAAGGGAAATCGGTGTCGGGTGAATTGGGGAGAGAGAGAATGCCTGGACACGAGAGCTGCATTGTAACAAACCAAAAGCTGTTTGCTCATTGGCAGCAGCGCCACCGATGCGGTCTGATTTTATCTGTCGCTAGGCAACAGCATTAAGGGACCTGACGTTTCCATCATGTTGCTTGTTTCTGCGTGTGCGTTCGGTGTGTTTGTGGCAGGGCGAGGTCCGAACATGACGCCCGGGCAAAGTGTTCAGATATAGCCCAGCCGTCCATATGACTCCGTGGATGTATTTTGAGAGAACGTCTGCCGGTTATTCGGCTCAAGTTGCTCGCTTGTCTGACATGTCCTTCCTCTGAACTGCCCGTTACACAAGAATGAGCTCCTTCACGCAAACGCAGAATAATTCTGACTGGCATTTTTCTGTGACAAATGGGTGTTATTACGAGTTCCCGTGCCAAAAAAACATGATCTTGAACAGCAGTGCTATTCAGCTGCGGCGTAATTCAGGTCGAGTTTGCTATTGTGCTGTATTACATAATTGTCTCTTGTTCAAGCATCATTATCCGTACGTGCTGTCTCAAAGCAGATGAGATTTATGTTATTAACTAGAGTCGAACAGCACGTCTCTGCCAGTATTTTTTCATCTCTTCTTCCCAGTTTCCTCTCTCCATGCTGTTTTCGCCTATTCGCTTTTTTTTTGCCACAGCCTCGATTTGGTAAGCCAGCAAGCTCCCATGGGACAAAGAACTTGAAAGTTCATATTAAAAAGGCCCCCTCCACCCCCTCCGAAGAAGTCTTGATCTTACCAAGCTCCAACATGACCTGAATGCGGCGTAGAAAGATGCTAATTATTTTCCCAGAGCGATGGCAAAAATGAAATTCTGTGTTTGGAGGGTCTGTGCTGTCTGATGAGGAGGGTCCGCCTTTTGTGCCAAATACATGTGGAAGCTCACAGTCCCTGGCCTACTTTCGTATCTCCACAATAATTAAATGTAACAAGCACTTCAGGGCTGCGGCGAAGAAAGCCTTTTTATAGCAGACACGCACAAGGTGCTGATAGGAGCGGTTTTTAAAGGTGTGGACGTTGGTGTTAATGATACTTACGTGATCGTGCCTGTCAGGTGTTTTTGTATCAATACATGATCACACTTTGCTTCTCTCTTCTTTAGGAGCTGCTTTTTAATCAATCTTTTTAATCAAGGCTCTTTTTTTTCTTCAGAAACTAGAATTCGACTCACTGTGTGAACTTTGTGGTGTCACATTCAGTCTCCATTATAAAGAAGCAAATGCGTTTTGCCATTCTGCTGAGTACAACAGTACAAAAGTGATTTTAATACTTCATCTGGCTGAGTTCTCAGAAGATCTAAAGCCTGAAGTCAAATTAAAATGAGTTCTTGCTAAAAATGAGGCCTATATGAAGCAACGTTGGATAAATGAGGCGCTGAAGTAGCATTGCTGTGTGTTTCTTTTAATGTTTCTCAAACTGAATAGGAAAATGTATATTCACTTATCAGAGAGGGAAAAAAAACAGTCTCCGCAGGTGTGGGCCGGTCCAAATGACTTGATGAATCACAGTAGGCAACAGACTAATGAATGATTCCTTGTTAAACAAAAGCCAGCTGACAAAGTCCTATTGTGTAGCTGGCAAGATTCATTAGTTGACTCAACCCAGATGAGGCTGTAATTATCGGTTGGTCCTCATTAACTTGGTGAAATTGAAAGAGGCACAAAAGGAATGGGAAAAGAAATCCGACTTTGTGTACTATATATCAGTTCAGTGTCTTTTCTTCGTGCCTATTGATTGTTTGTTCTCTTCCACAGCGTATTGAGGTTAATATCATCAGCTAGAATTCAGTATTGTGAACTCACAGACGATTTTGCACCTTAGGAGATTGAGCGGTACCGAAGCCTCAGATCTAAGTGTTATCACGGCAGAGCAGGATGCTGCTGTCAGCACCACACATTGTGCTCCAGCAGCTCCAGTTTGGGGCACTGGGATGGCAGGCGGTTGCTTCCCACAACAGCTGAGCGTGGCAATAGAGGAAATTACCTGCATGCACCAAAAGGATTTTCATGGCGGGGTATTCCCTCTCGACTTTAAAGTCACAGCTAACAGGATTTACAAGACGCCGACGGGATCTGAGGACCTGTAGAAAACCTGGCTCGCTTCACACTTTGAACTTAAATTTGTTTTGGCTGAACTGATCACAAATCAATAGTTCAAAACAAGAAGAAGGCTCATAGACATCCAGCGGTTCATGCAGCATTCAGACAGGTCTGGGATGTCTACAGATAGAACAGCGGTGTAGAGTGAATGCTAATGCGTCTCTGATAGCACGGAACAGCCATGTTTTTGTGCAAGTAGCATAACAAACACTCTGACCACTTTTGGCTTTTCTGAACGTCCCAGTCAACGTGCATGAGTCGAGGGAAAGTCTCAAATCGAAATCATGATTTTTTCTTTAATAGCAGTGATTGTATTATCACACATAGACCAAGTAGAAGGAAAATGATAATTATACTGTACAAAAATGTATAAATAAAGTACGTAAAATGTCATTAAATTCTATCTATTCTTTCCAGCATAGGGACATATGTTTATTTATATTTGTATTTGTTGTTCCAACACACAGCATCATCTACAACAGAATGAGCATCATTAAACAACCCAGTATTGCAATTTTTTGGAAACCATAAAAAGGCAGATGAGAAGTGGGGTCTCCATGTTCCTCCTCTTCCTGAAGGGGTTGGTGGAGTTGGCAGACATTTTTTATTGTGTTGTCAGACACCACAGCATCATGTGGCAGACGTTCTGTCACACCACGATGTCTTACAGGATTCTTTAGATGGCAAATGGTGGAGTTATGGATATTTAAGTGTCTGGCTACGGCTCTAACTGACAAACCAGCAGCCAGCAGCCGTTCCTTGTGTTTCTCTTGTCATCTGTGGCATCGTGTCGTTTGAATAAAGCTGCACTTTGAAGGTGGACTTTTATAGTCACTGGTCACATTATCTGATCATTGTCCTTTAAAGCCACAGCTGACTTTGGTGTTCATTAACTTAGAGGTCGAGCATTTGTCACCAGTCGAACAGCTCAAAAACTTTTGGTACACAGTTAGCTAAATCTAACCCTTTTCTAAGTTTTAAACTTTTCTGTAAGTCAGAAAAAAAGACAATTTGCATGCTGTGTTTATTTTTGTGTTCAGTGCACATAATGCAAGCTGTGTGTTTCACCTCAGTCAGACATAAGAGACACGCCTCGTACTGATGCAAACCAAACCAGAGACTCATTTCCGATTAGTCACAAAAGTAAATATTAGTTTCCCTGTCGAGGCATTTGTACTCATCCTCTGAAACTGAAGTCAGATTTTCATTGGACTTCTGCATCATGATTCATCTTCTGTGCTGCACTGAAATAAAACATCTCCGATCTGTTTTTGATTTCCGATCATGTTTATTTATGCACATTTCCACCTCCTGTTGGTTCTCAGGTGCAGAGGATGTGGTGATGGCGTTCTCACGGTCAGAGACGGAGGATCGACGGCAGTGACCCTGGCCCCCCCACGTCCCCTCCCGCCCATCCCGCCCCGCCCCGACCCCCACCCCGCCCTGCACGTGATCCACAACTCCATTAAAACTCCACAAACACAACACTGATGAGCTCAGGAGAAGAGGGATGCCCAGGAGGGACAGAAGAGGACGGGGAGGTGGCCGCCTCGCCCTCCGCCCGACCTCTTCCACCCCGACGACTCCTCGTACAAGTCGGCACACCGTTACCTGAGATGCACTCAAGTGGGTCACTGTGGGCTGAAGCCTTGGCGACAAGGCGGTCAGTGAAAACACTCATAGATTGTGTGGATGATTATCAAATCTAGGTTTTTTTTTTTTGGTTTTTTTTTGGGGGGGTGGAGGGAGGATGGTTTTGTTTTGTATCGTTTTGTCTGTGTTGAGGCTTTAGGCAGTGTTACGTGTTCTACCTGCTGCGGTCACTGGAGGAAACTGACCAGTCGGCGGTTGACTGAAGCAAAGAGAAATATAGTTTTGGTCAAGCAGCGAATGTGTGATGGTTGGTTGTGTTAGAAGAGAGAGATTTTAAGTATTTCTGCATACCCTAAGTGGGCTAAAGTTGTTTTCGGATTAGCTGTTGTTGCGTTAAAGGCTTTTTGTACTCTGTCCACCAGGGGCCTCATTTATAAACGCATTGAATAGAAGCATGACTCCCACACAGATGCTGGGATTTAAGGGTGTTACTGGTCTATCCATACGTTTATGGAAACTTGCATGCTAAAGACAAAATGAATTAAAGTTCAAAAACCTCAAGTCAAATGCAGTGAACAAAAGAAAATCCAATTTGTAAGTGGTTCGTAATGCGTTTGTCAAAAGCTGCAATGTCTCTTGTGGACATTAATAAGTGGAGGATCATGCATAAATAGATACTGAATGACCGTAAAGTTAAACCCCTTTATAATAATGTAGAATACATCCTCAAAAGGGTTACAATTTGGCAATTATTGTACATTAACAAGCACTTATTGCTGTGTACAACCCATTAAACTGTCTTTTAAATCATGTGTCAATCATGTGTTATACCCATACCTGCCCATAAATAATTAATCATCTCTCTTCAAATCTAACTTAATTACACCTGTTGTGTTGTTCATGTGGTTGTAAAGTAAACCCCCGTCACTGCTGTCTGCGACACGCCGATCTACCTAAACCAGAGACAAAAACAGCACCCACCAAGTCCGACCGACTCAAAATCACCCGCATTTTCTGCTCCGTGACATTTCTCCTTGTGATTTGCAGTATTGCTTCATGTACAAATCCTATAATGACAAGCTGATTGATGTGTGTGTTAACAGTCACACCAGGCCCGTCGTTAATCATTCGTGTTTAATTACGCGAGCTAACAGGGCGGCGTGACGAGGCTCGCGCCGTGATCGATGAGATTTCGAGCGTTTTTCTTTCGGGTTTGTTTCCACGCGGAATCCGTGCAGCGTTTTTTATAAATGAGGCCCCGCTTGTTCTTTCTGCTGCTTTATTTTGAACCATAGGCTGTCGAGAGTGCAACGATGCTTTTTCTCACGAGGGGAAGCGCAAGAATTAAAAAGACACTACCAGACATAATCGCATCAAACGTGAAACACAGGTGTACGCGTTCTCCCCAAACAAATACTGGCTTTGGGTTCTTGT